GGTAGCCGGTACACATCGATGTACTTCCAGATGACGTTACTCCGCCACTCTCCCCACGCGCGGATGCGCCCCTCCGGCACCTCCAGCGAGTAGCAAGCGCTGGCGCCACCCGCCCGAAGACCGTGATGGTCGAAGGGGTCGGGCGGCGGGGAGGGGAGAGCGCGTAGGAGGTCGGGGAACCAGCCGGAGACGGTCGGCGCAGACGGATCGGGCTCCCCCGGCAAGGTATAGAAATGGCGCGGGGAGGCGCCGGCATCCGCCCACGCCTTATCGCGGGCCGCAGACCAACGAAGAAAAAGGTCCACCACCGCGGGCGCGCCGCTGGAAGGCCAGGAGCGGCAGCGCACCTTCGGGTCGGTGGAAGCGCTGAGCTTGGTCCGCCGTTCGCGAAAAACCAGGAGGCCATTCTCGAGGCGGAGGTCCTCGAGGAGAATGAGGTGGCCGCTCTGCGCCGATTGAAGAAAATGAAGTCTAAGGTCGCGGAACAGGCCGCGCGGAGGAGGCGGAGGTCGTCCGTAGACATCCCCAAAGCCAGGACGGCGAGCATCACGGTGGTAGGCACCGGGCGATGGGAATGCGCCGGCTCCGGAGCGGCGCGCCTCCACGCCCGGGTGAGCCGGCGGGTGACGGCGTCAAAGGCCGAGAAGTCCAAATGGCCCATCGATTGGTGGACCATTGAGATCGCCGCCAGGTACTGGGGAAGACTCCGCACGCTGACACGGCCCTCCTCCCGAAGAAAGCGAATGTAACGGTAGATCGACGACGGTCTCGCGGGCAGCGCCACGAGGTCGTTGGTGGCGCAGAAGGCCGCGAATTTGTCGAACTTGGAGTGCATCCCCGCCGCGTAGACTCCGTATAAAAAGAAAGGAACTCGGCCTGCATCCAAGACCGATCGGACGCCGAGAGGCCGTCCACCTCGCAGCCGAACAGCGGGTGATCCGACGGCATGTCCTCCAGGGGAAGAGGGTCCTCCACCGGCGAAGCTGCGCGGGAATCGGGCGTCATTGTCCCCGCGTCAGAGTCGGAGTCCGTGGCCGCACGTGGAAGGCGCGGAGATTCCACCGGGGAGGGGGCAGAACGGCCGGCATCGAGGGGTCGCCCGGTGTAAACATGCCCGGGCGGCGTCTGATCATCATCTCGGCCGTCGCGAGGCGCCGGAGCCTCGGAAACCACATCGCCGACGGCCAGTCGGGTGCCAGAACCACCGCCTCCACCGTCGGTTGTCGCTGTAGGAAAGCTGCTAGGCGCGGAAGCAGCGACCAGGGCGGATTGGCCCAGTTGGCCTCGCCCGTCCAGTCTTGAAGGAACGCGTCCACTCCCGCCGAATGGGGCTCGTGATGCCTCGAATTGAAAACGGGGCAGAGGGAATTCCGTTGGGAAGCGAACCGGTCGATGGTCCGCGCCCCAAAACGGCGAGTAATGGCCCGGAAGATCGCCGGATGAAGGCGGTAATCCTCCCCACCGCGCACCCGGGACAGATGGTCCGGAAGCGTATTCTCCTTGGAGGGGATATACTCCGGATCGAGCAGCAGCTCGCGGGCCGAACAAATCCGCTGCAGTTGGCGGAGTGGCCCGCGGAGTTGATCGGAACCCGTCATCATGCTGCGGATGCAAAAGAGGACCACCTGCGAATCCACGAGCAGGCGGAGCCGCGCCGAAAGCGAGGGGGAACTGGCCAGAAAAAATGCCCGAATGGCCAGCGCCACCGCCTGCAATTCACGCACATTAATGTGCGTCAAAGATCGGTCAAAGAAGCCTCGCGCTAACTTGGGCTGATCGGCGTGAGGAGCCGTGAACGTCGCCCCCCAACCCGTCAAGGAGGCATCCGTAGCCGGAGTACCCGCAAAGGGCACCGCGTCGGGATTGAGCGGGCGACCATCACAACGGTCCAAATGGACCCACGCCTCCAGATCGAGGCAAGCCTGCGGGGTCAATCGAAGGCGATCCCGCCAGGAGCGCTTAGTCCTGAGCACTCCGTAAAGGCTTTGGAGAAAAAACCGGGCAAGGGGAAAGGCCAAATAAACCGAAATGGCCAGCCCGCAAAAACGAGCCAGATCACGAGCAACCACCCAGCGCCGGGCCCTAAGAACCCGGGCTTTTTCGGCAATGAGAGCCACCTTGTCCCGGGGAACGAAAAAACGAGCGGCGGTGGTGTCAACCACCACACCAAGGTGCCGCTTAACCTGGACTGGTTCCCATTGGCATTTGCGGTCCTTAAAGTGAATGCCCAAGGCCCCAAAAATCTCTCTAACTAGTTGGGCCCATTCCCGCAGTTTTTTCGGATCGCTTAATGCTGCCAGAAAATCGTCCAGATATGCCAGAATAATGGCGGGGTCATCGACCGTATAGCGGAAATAATAGCGCTTGATCGAATCATTCCCCGCCAGACTGCCAAAACGAAACCCCCGCGCCGCTTTGGCACAAGAACCGGGGGATCGGAGAAAACGGGTGACCACCAACATGAAATGGGTGAAAAAGTAAGGGGAAAGAGAAAGCCCAAAGGGAAGAGCACGACAAGCGAACACTTCCCCACCCATGCGAAATTGCAAAAAACATTCGTCTTCCAGTCGCATCCGTAAGTGATGGTAGGCGTCCTTAATATCGAATCCCACCAGAAAATCATCCCGTTTCAACAAATGACCAAAATCCCTCAATTTCTCATACCGCAACCCCATTTTGCGGGGGTGGCGGTTGATCCGCCGAAGGTCCACACACAAACGGTACTTCATGACTCCGTTCTCGCGCCCTTTTTCCACCAGAAAAGCCCTTGAGATACGAGACATGGGGCCGGGATCTACCTTGATGATGGCGCCCGTACTCAAGTACTCCTCGCGGAGGGACTCCCATCCCGCCTGCTCCTCCCGCGAACGGATCGGGTACTCGCCCTGGTCGAAGGGCGGGGGAGGCCCCTGCGGGCCCCATGGCAGCTGAACGCCCGAATGGATCCAGCGAAGGACGTGCGATGGCGCTCCAATCCTCCGCCATGCCGAAAGGCGTCCCCGAGTACGGTTATACGGGAAGTCGGTCACGCGTCCGGAGGTGGACGCGCCGCCTGCGGGGGGTTGCGCTTCTTGCTGCGTCGCCCTGAAGAGCCTCCGGGATGGGGCGAGGTCTCGCCGCCTCCCGATTTGCCCGCCCGGCTGGCCGCGGCCGCCTTGGTGGCAAGCTCGACTTCTTGGGTAAGGAGCTCCTTGCGGATGGCGCCCAGCGTCCCGTCGATCGTCTCGGTGGTGAAACCGCCTTCGGGTTCGCTGAGGCGGATTTGTGCCTGCAACGCGCGCTAGGATCCTTCGATGCCGGTGCCGCGATGCTTCGCGTGCACCTGATGGAGGCGCAGTTGGTCCACTTGCCGCTCGGTAATGGCCACCGATGCGTAGACGTACGGCAGGAGGAGGTCGCGGATCGACTGCGGTAGACTCGGGTGGGCGACCAGGTCTACGAAGGCGGCCGTGTAGTCGAACTGCCACGCGACCCACGGCGCCCAGCTCGCGTACTCCTGGAAATAGCCGGAGTTGGGGCCGAGAGCCGTAGCAACCGTCTGGCCTTGGCCCGTCTCCCGTACGTCGAACCAGGCGGGAAAGGACGTGAAGTCCGGCCTGGCGACCCGGTTGTTGACTGACCGGGGGAGTAAGCTGGGGTCGGAAACCCACGTGAGCTCTATGGGTCGGTCTAGTAGGCGCTGGTTGAAACGAAGCGCCTGTGCCCGCAGCCACTCTTCGGCAGGGCTGGGGTTCATACAGAAAGAACTCGGCGCAAAGGCCGGAGGGTCGAACCACTCTGTGGTTCCGGGTTGTGCCAAAGGTTGGCGCGAAGCGAAACAAGATAAGGGGGGCGCCACGGGTTGCGCCTTAAATAGCCGCTCCCACTTGCCGCCAAACTCCCCGCCAAACCCAAGGGCCAGCTTGACCGGTCCCCTTGGCTGCGCCCAAGGTACAAGGATCCACTCCACCGCCCTTGGGTGCGTCGGGCAGCACTGACCCCGAGTACAGGGGTGACAGAAACCGGCTGATGGATGGCCCAAACTGTCCCAAAGGGCGGAACGGCCTGACCCGGCCGTTGCGCGCCCACCCAATCGTCGTCCTAGGCAGAAACTCATTAACAGGATAGTTAATTCTATTTCAGACAGCACCCAACCCCCAGGAGGCAGCTGTCGCAAGCTGCATGGCTTCCCCAATGCAGTGCGCATGGGTGGCATACCAACACGTGGCCGCCAGCCAGTGCCAACATGAAGGCAAGATAGAGCTAGAACCGCTAATCTTCCGGTTGTTTACCCGATCAGGAATAACAATAGCATTCCTGTAGGTGTGCATGGCGGCACCTCGCCTTGTGGCAACAGGCAATGGTAAAGTATCCACACAGGAGGTGCCCACCAGCATGTCGATTCAGTTGGCAATTCGCCGGAGTCGAAACGAGCCAGGGTGTGAGTCCGCAGTGCTGCGAACGAGCCAACATCTGCTTGTCGCCACCACCTTCCCGAAGCTGTGGGGTGTGTGTGGGGAGGGGATGGGTGGATGTGGGGAAAGGAACATTGATGACAGTGGGTATATCAGTGTACAGAGAGTACCACACATTGCCGCGAACAGATCCGCATGTGCTTGCTGCCACCACCTTGAAGCTGTGTGGAGCGTCGATGAACATTGATGACAGCGGGCACATCAGTGTCCAGAGAGTATCAAACATCTTCGCTGCTCTTTAGCTGCTTAGTTCCAGGCTTTGGCGCGCGCACCACTTCCCAAGCGAGCCTGTGCACTCCGCTGCAGCTGCTCTGCGCGCCTCAACAGACCCCCTTTCGCATGTCTACCCATCCCCCCCGGTCAAAACTCAAACCCTCCAAAACAACTCGGCTCACGTTTTCCACAGACATATTTTCTTCACACGCCCACCGTTACAGTGCTCCCCCCTGGCCCAGCCCGCCACTACCTCGGCTGCTCAGTCTGAGGGAAGCGCATATGTGCATCTCCCCAATTCCCATAGAGTACAGTGCCCAATCGCGAGAAGGCTCACGAGTAGAAGGGGAGGAAGAGGGTGCACAAGTAACCCCAAGCAACGCCAGACAGGCCGCCCACAAAGAAGCCTGCTGTGAACTCGTTCCACCTAATCAGCGCCAACACACAAGCAAGAACTGTCACAACAAGCTGTCAACTGGTGCGTACATGAGCGCGTTCAACGTGTATTTCTATTCCAGCAGCTCCTTTCAAGATCTTCTTTTTGAGGCGATGAGCACAAGCCAAGTTGGGGAGTCGCAGTGGGGTGCACGCCGGACTGTGGCCATTGGAATTGCCAGAATCGGCAAGCCACCGTCCTTGCACCATCAAAGAAGAAAGTGGGGAAGCGACCTGTTGCTCCGAATGGCCTTATGCAGTTTACTTTCTCATCTGGTGCATTGACTCATCGAAAACTGCAAGATGTTGAAGCGCCCAAAGTTCGTGCCATTCTGCACTGCAAGTGAGCAATTGACAAATCAATCCCATTTTTGGGATCAAACATATGCTACGCCAGAAAATTGTGCGAAAATCCAAAACAGGGAAGAAAGCTCTTGGTGCAGCTTTCTCTGGATGTGCATGGGGAGCGATCCTCAAAGACGGATTCTCAAATCTGACGCAAGCAATGCCGACAAATGCTGCCCAGTCATTTACTTAGTTAGTTTAACTGGCAATTGCTGTATTTATTGTGTGTATTAGTCATCCTTGCATTTAGTGCATGTAACTAGCTCTTTAGCCATTCAGTGGGTGGGGTTCCAGGCAGCACACCCGTCAGCTGTCTGCAGTGAGTCAGGGGACAGGTCCCGGCCCGAGAGCGTCTTCACGCCCAGCGGCTGTTCTTCCTCCTGGAAGGTTGCCTGGCCATAGATGGTCAGGCAGCCCGTGAGGATGATGACCAGCATGGCGCCAGCCAGGCAGCCTGCCGTCTCAGCAGTCCCTGCAACGTTACGAAGGGGTCCCAACTGCACGCACAAGCCCACGGGGTATCAGGCGACTGTCAGAAGTCACGAACTTGTAATCCGCTCCACCTCCACTAGACTTTTTGATGCAGCAATCGACACACAGCCTTTGCATAACAACAGCTTGAAGCAAGCTGGATTCACATACCTGCAAGGACAGGGGTTTGATGACAATGGCCACTAAAATCTCGCGACCTTGAACACTCATCCAGGCACCATTCACAGTTTCCACCATTCACACCAAACTAGCCAAATAGCACACTCCTATTTTCTCATTTCTTTCTAATTTTGCATACCTATTGCCTAACTGTGGAGCTGGAAGGTTGATTGTTTCTCACAGTGTCAGTCCCAAAAACACTGGGACGCAGGATTCAACCCACCTTCAAGACACCACAAATTATGAACAATCCAGGTCCGCAGTACCATGAAAAGCAAGGCAGTACAAAGTGCGAGCATATGCTACAGCATAAGGTGATGTTTCGTGTGGAAAATACAGTACTTCTGAAGTACATAACAAGATACAAGCCAAAACACAGCCAAGCACAGCTCCACGGCCTCAGGAAATGCCATCCTTGCTGCCTACTGGAAGGGTCTGAGCCTCAAACTGAGGCCATCATGACCTTGCTATATTTATAGTGGAAACAATCAGTTTGCATGTAAAATAGCTGCAGAATTACACCCAGCCTCACATTGGTAACCTTTCATATTTGGAGGTGATCACAATATGCTTAACACCGGAACACACTCAGCCTCAGTTGGAGTCAGCACCGCCCAACACTCTATTGACCTGTCTCCAGCATGCTGACTCAATCTCCTTGCAACACTTTACTCTAAGCAGGGTGAGATAGCACACCTGGAAAGGGCAACCTTGCATGATCAACACAAATGTACTAGGTTCCTTTTATTAAGCACACGCTCGACCTGCCACCAAATACCAATCTGCCACCAACTTCTCACCAATCAAGCTTGGACAACAGCATTCATTCTGTTTTTTTTTGCACCCACAGCCCAACTCTCACCTTGATGAATGGCCCCACCAGGAGGAAGCCGTGTGTGAGCCCGATCTCCACACCACGCAGCAGCGGGGCCACTCCTGTCCTGTAGGCTGGGAGGTTGGAGAGGAAGGATGCAACGATTGGTGCGGAGGTCACAGGCGTCTCAAGCATGCCAATGAAGGGGTCGCCATTCATGGGTTGGATCACTTGCTTCTGTGACAGGCAAATGGGTAGGCATGAGGTTGGGGATCAGGACCCATAAGGCTAGCAACCAAGCAGAGGTTCCTTACTTTCCTTGTAGAGCAATATGGAGTCTTGTGTCGCTTCATTGACTTGTGTACCAAACAGAAAGTCCACTCATGTCTGGGCACATCTGGCTCAGCAAACCATGATTGCTTAGAATATGGGAAGTGTACACACTGCCCATGTCTTGATTCCTTTTGCCAACAGCGAAAAGCATGGCCCGCGCATTGCATTTCAAAGCTGGCAAGTCTTTAAATTGATGGCAGCTTTGCTGTGCCTTGCCACGAAATTCTTATCTGCAGGACCTGGACGGCCCTCTCCTCTTGCAGAATTATGACCATGGACTGTTCATGTACAGTGGAAGGCGTTGCTACTGCCTTAATGCACAATGCAAAGAATACCAAAACAATGTTGAGTGACTCATGGTCTAGGCAGCTGGGGGTTGGGGGGGGGTTAAAACAGGATTGATTGAAGCTCCGAGGGAATGTGGGTCGCAGCAGCCTTATTTATGACAGAGCGATATGCCCACTGGTAGGTGGGGTTTTGGGCATCCACATTCAAACATGTTGTGTCCAGATCTCCAAATGCATGCCAATCCCTGGGCCAGGACCGCCCAGGCAAGCTGTGTGTCGTGTGTCCAGATCTTCTGTCGTGCACAATGTATAGAACTGACAGAGAACGACACAGCATCCCGCTGCCCTTCCTGTAGGTCACAAGAAAAGACAAGGGCGAGGGGGGGACAGTGAAAGGACTAGGAATAACGAGAGGAAGCATGGCAGACCTTGGAAATGGTTGCATCAGTACAGGGCGCTTGGGCAGCACGCAAAATTTGACCTCCCACGAATGATTGGGAGATCGCGCCGCCCAGCCGACAAAGACCCATCGAAAAGGTCTGGCCGATGCCAGATCGACACCACAAACCACGGTGCACACTGCCCAGGGCAAATTCGCCAACGGGTCGCACTGCATGAAACAGACAACTCGAAAGCACAGGCAACTTGTCATCGATGCGACCGCCGCAGGCCGATGAGCCAGGCGCAGCGAGCAACCACCCGAATGCCCGGCGCCATATTCGTTTGTCTTATAGAGTCTCAACACCGAAAGACCTTCCTCGCACGCCGTTCTTGGGCCACCCAACTCCGAACATATCGGGCGCCGCGCCTCCTCGGACGCCGACGCCCCTCGCGACGGCACCGAGGCCTATGGCCACGGCCATCACAACTTCAACGCGGGGGCAACCCCTTGGTCTAAACGCCACACACGCGATCCCCACCCGTCATCATCCCCTCCCATTTGACATAGCACATCATCCTTTCAGAGAGGGGAAAAGAGTCATGTACGCGCTTGCCAAGGAGCCGCTGCCCTTCGCTTCGCATAACCTGTTTTCCAAGGCACGATCCGCCACTTCCTCCCCGCACTCAAACAAGCACTCGCTCTTTGAAACTCTGCATCATCTCGTCACAGCAGGACAAAGAGTCCCTCGCACACTTGCCAATGAGGGGGTACCCTACGCAGGACCTGTTTCCTTTCAGAGTGTAACAAATCGCACCCAACGGTCCCCAGCCACGATCTGCATACCCACAAGGCGCACGCGGACCCCCACCAAATCACTCACTACTTGGAAACCATAAAAGGAAACAAATTCGCCCACGACACGCCCAACACACAGACGCGGACCTGGCCGACCGCCAAGTGGGTGAATTCTCGCACCTTTTCCGCAGCCGCTGCCCTCACGTTCAGCGTCCCCATGCGCCCTGGCCTGGCGGGCCCCATCCCGCAGAGCTTTCCGAACAGGCTCTGGGCGCATTGCTTGGATGCCATGCGGCCCGCGATCGTGGATGTTGCCATGGCGAGCTGCGGGTGCTGGCTGAAGGGCCAAGGAGGGAGGGGGAGGCGGGGGGCGTGGGCGGTCGAAAGAGGGGGGGGAGTGGGAGTGGTGGCGGGGAGGTGAGTGGGGGACGGAGATCGGTGCGCTGTTCGGCACACTGCAAAATGGCAAACAATATAAGCCATCTTTGCAAAAATTAGAAACAAAATGAGCTGTGTATGGTACACAATGAGAAGCAATGATTTGACAGCTCAAGAAGAAAAAAACAAAGTGCAGCATGAAGGAAAAACATGTGCATCCCGTTTTCAACTTGGGAGACATGTCCAAAACATGTTTATTCACTCAGGGCCAATAGTTTAGTATTAGTACAAGTGGAAAGCAAGGAAAAGGGCGGAAAACACAGCTGCTGTGTGGTGGCAACCCGCAGCACATGTTCGAACCGTGTGGTGACCGTGTTACACCACTAACCATGCCGCGGACCATACACCGGGTACCCCGGGGTCTGCTGTGTGACCGAGAGGGGGTACCCCAGAGACCGTTGTGTGACCGGAAAGCGTGACCACCTGGCCCGCTGGCTGTGGTCCTTCCGTGCTGCAGCATGGCCGCGTGACGCAAACTACACGCCCACTATCCGGCTGCCCGAGAAGCCAACCGAATGGCGACCAAAACGAACGAAGGCACGCTCCCCTTGGAGTGGTGGCACAGCACCCTCCGTGTCGAGGTGGCAAAGGCGGGCGCAGCCCTCGCACTCTTCAACACCGGCCTTTCGCATGAAGGCGGCTGGAATTGGAGGGTGCTCGCCATCCTCCATCGGAAGGCGCTGCGGATTGCAACGGCGAAGGAGCAAATGGCGGGCCAGTTGGGAGGCCAAACGGTGGAGAGAAACGGGGCGAAGGAGGCAAGACTGGAACGGAAGACGCGCAGCCCAGAATGTGGGCATGTGGTGGTGCGGATTGAAGCCACCAACCCGTCCGATCTCAAGGATCGGACCGTGCGCTGCGATGGGACACGATCTCCGCCGGCGACCGAGCAGTTTGGTGCCCCCTCGGCGGAGGTTCTTGCTGCCGGTTTGAATGGGGAAGAGTGCCTTGAGGCGGACGCGGGGGGTGGCGCGGAGTGGAAGCGGTCGCGGGCCGCGGAGTGAGGGTGTGGTGGAACCCGGGTGTGCGGTGCTGTGTAGCGGGGTAGTTAGGGTGTTTAGGGGTAGGTTGTGACCGGTGTAACAGGTACCGATTTCTCGGTGTAATTCGTCCGGGGGAATAGTGTAACAGACCGGGAAGAGGGAGAGTCGGAGAGACCCCAGCGCGGGTATAAAGGGGTGGTTGTGGTCTGGAACGGCATCCTTTTGTCGAACAGAGCCCTGTAACGAGCACCGCTCTGCGGGGAACTTTGTTGCCTCTTTGTTACCGTCTTGTGAGTCTGTGTTTCGGTCTGAGGAGACTGGCAACCGGCTTGGCTGCCCTGTAAACGCGAACAGTGCGTGCCAGACGGGGGGCTAACGCCCTGGCTGCTGGGGATTCACCGAAGGTCGGTTCTGTCTGACCGGGAGTAGGAGGTAAGTGAGGCTGTGTGTTTCACACATGACAAAGGGCAGGGTCAGTGCCTACCAAGGAGCTTTCTGAATGCAGAATGCAAGTTACTACATGTATTTGATGTTTGGCATCAAGTGGTTGTAAGTTGGGCTGCATTTGGTTATGTGTGCATAGAAACTATGTAGTAGGTGCTTACATGAAAGAATGCTGCATGTTTTTATGGTGAGAAGGTTCCTGGAAGGTTGCTGATTGCAGGGCTGGAGTGTGTGAGTGTCATACTGGTCCATCCCGGTCTGATTTGCTTGCACCGACAGATTTATGGCATGGAAGTTGGGCAGTTTGCATGTACATGTTCAAAACTGTAGTAAAGCTATATTTCTGTGGGATTTATTGTAAGCGGAAGGTTGGCTAAGGGCTGGCATGCCCTGATGTGAGTAGCTGGCCAATACCGGCACATAGTAGATGTGAATGAAGCTCTCTTTGAGTTAGCATCTCGTGTGTTCCGAGGGCAGCAGTTTTCTGCCCAGTTTTACACTAACCACCACTTAGTACTACTGCGAGTACGGTGGAAAGTGTACTGCTGCCTTTTATAGATCACGAACGCAGCCTATGCATGGGAGTACTGCGAAAACACGCTGCTGGCTTTGTTGGTCAAGCGCGTGGAGTACTACTGCTGCAAATGCTTTAAAATGACCGTCTTTACATCCTGATGTGACCAGCCCATCTTCACAAGATTCTCTGCGCCAATCTTCGAACATCTTCTTCATTTTGTGGCCATTATGAGGAAGGTGCAACATGGTTTCGGAGCGCGAGGTTTCGGTTGTGGGCGGAAGGTGCCAATCTGGATGGCACTGGTCATCATTCTGGGATTGGTGACGGAAGCTGCTGGCTGGGTGGTACATGATGTATCACATCAGCAGAGCGAAGAACGGAAGGTGGAAAGACCTCCTTCGTCTGGACTGAAGGCTTTCTTGGATGCTGCTGCGAAGTTTGCATGGGAGAGGCTGGTCGGAGTCACGGAGAAAGAAGAAACCAGTGTGTTACAGCCAAAGATAGAGTACTACAGGAAGTCCCACTGTGATACTCTCCGATGCCGTTTCCATGCAATCCAGGATGGTGCGATTGATCTGATTCTGGATGCTGTGACTGATCCCATTGGGATGTGGAAACGTTGGTACAAGGCTGTGAAGAACCTGCCTGGAGAAGGATTCCCGTTTGTCAACGAGCTGCTGGGTTTACTAATCTTTGGAGGGATCCTCAATCTGATTTCTATGACGGTGCTGCGTTTCGAGAAGATGGTGACTCTGATGCTGGAGATTGTCTACTTGTTTTTTACCATGCCTATCTTCGTACTGCTCTGGAGAATCTGTGGAAGCTGCTGGAAGTTTGCTGCAGTGAGAGCCAAGCTGATGCGGAAGGCTGCAAAGTCACAGCGGCGTGCATACGTCAAGAAACAAAGGACGGAAGCTGCAGCTGAAGCTGCTGAGAAAGATGATGATTCTGACGTTGAAGAGAAGGCTGAAGAAGACAAGAAGAAGGAGGAAGAAGTTGGAGAGAAGGAGAAGGAAGAAGTGCCAGCTACTAACGCTATGGTGGTGATGAATTCTGGAGTGTCCGAGGATGTGTTCAAGCGTGCCATGATGGGAATGATGTCTGACTGGATGGCATCAGCTGCAACAGCTATGCAGCAAGGTCAGACGAGTTCGGCACCTCTGAATGACATGCGTGGCGCTATGTGTGACCACTGTGGAGGCCGAAGTCACACTGCCAACAATTGCTGGAAAAGGACAAGGGACAACAATGGACGTGGAGGGGAAGCTGCAAGGAAAGGGAATTGGAATGGTGGAAGACAGTTGCAGCCCCAATATCGTCAAGTGAGAGCTGTTGAGGGACAGCAAGAAGCTGCAACGCAAGGGGAAGGATCAGGAAGCTACGTCTGCAAAGCGCTGGGAATGGAAGAAGGAAAGCTAATGTATGTGCCTATCACTTTAAATGGAGCGAAGCTGGAAAGATGCATGATTGACACTGGAGCTGAAGTGAACGTCATCTCGACCAATCTGGCCCTGAAGAATGGACTGACCTACCAGCCTGCTTTCATCAAGGAGATCCAAGGTTTCAATGGAGCATCAGCTGAAGTTGTTGGTATTGCCACATGTACTATGGAAATGGCGCCAAGTAAGCAACAAAAAGAAGAGAAATTTCTGGTTGTTGACACGATTTCTGGCGGTCCCATCATTGGGCTACCAACTCTGCACAACTTTGGGTTGATTCTGGATTGTGAGAGCAAGGAAATTACTGATAAAACTTCTGGTGACATGGTGAAGTGTGCTGTCATGAAGGTTCCCCCTCAAAAAAACTGAATAGGATTGCAGCTCGCTCAGGGTATGACATAGAGAGTGGAAAAAAAGAAAAACATGAAAAAATGCAAGGCACATGGGCCTGGGGGGAAGGTAGAGCGGTGCTGCATCAATTATGGACTAGGGAGGGGATAAGGGGGCTGGCAGTACACACACCAAATATGGTGTCAATTCTGTGTGGGAAAACGCACTTTATTCCACCCAAGGAGTTTGTTAGGATATATCTGCCATATAGTGTAACTATAGAAGGAGGTGTAACACTAGCTGTGGGACTACATCGGCCTGGGATGGTGGCTGGATTGGGTGTAACAAAAGGGGGACAGTTGCGTTTGAACTTATATAACGCAACTAATGAGACAATTTGTCTCACACCCAAAACCGTTTGCATCTTAGTTAGAGCCACAGAAATTGAAGTGGAAAACCTTGGAGCTGAGCCGTACAGGGTACATCAGATCAAAGAGATTTCGCCCGAGGAATTTGGCAGGAAGCTAAAGGAAGAAGTGGAGTTACTATTCCCAAAGGTGGGGGACCTGTCATCACATCCAGTGAATGACGAAATGGCGAAGTTAGTTGTACGTACGGATGAAGTGGTCTGGCGGACACCTCCTGAATTTGGGTGTAGAACACAATATACAATTGATGGGGTGGCAGATAGGCGTTTAGTAAAGCAGCAACTGGATGAATATGTACAGCGAGGCTATCTGAAAAAGGCGTCTTTGGCAGAAAAGCTGTATTTAAGTCCGTTACTGCCAATTAGGAAACCAAATGGGACGTTTAGGTTCACTAATGATTTTAGAAAGCTCAATAGTTATTTTCCTAGTGGGGATAGGACGGTACAAGTTGACGTATGGCGAAAAATGTGGGAAATGCGCCCTGAATGGCGTTATTACATAAAAATAGATTTAAAGGATGGGTTTTTTGGAATTCCGGTAGAAGAGGAGCTGTCAAAGCTTTTTGGTTTTAGTTATGGGGCAGATAGGTTTAGGTGGGTGCGTTTACCACAAGGGTGGAAGTGGTCATCTGTGTTGTTTTGTGAGCGTGTTGCAGAGATTCTGACTGGAATATTCGCGCCACAATACAGTGATGACGTAATTGCTGGTGCAT